AAGGACACTTCTGAGTCTATCCCTTCCGTTATGTCGTTCACATATACCAAGAACAGCACAGGTCCTAGGACTGACCCCTGTGGAACCCCGCTTGTCACAAGCGCCCACTCTGACACCTCGTCACGTACCATGACTCGTTGTTGCCTCCCTGTCAGGTATTCTCTGATCCATTGCAGTGCCTTTCCTGTTATGTGTGCCTGTGTGTGTGTGTGTGTGTGACCCAATTAATATTTACACCAATAACTCATTACAGTTGTGACCGGGTGTGGACGTGTGAATGGCTCATTACTTTGTAATTTGTTCATGACTGTAACCATTTATAGACGTGTAGATGATTCATTACATTTGAATCTTGGTCATGATAGTGACCAGATCTACCTAGAGTTCATTACCTTTGTAACTTGTTCAGCTATCAAAACTTTGGGGCCCAGTCCCTGGACCCATTATGTACCTCTGTAATCTATTGACTACCGCCCACAAGATGGGTCTGGGTTGCATAATACAGATAATAAACTGACTCTAGGAGCCAATGCAATAGACACAAGGAGAGACTAACAATAACAACATTTGAGAGGAAAAATTATCAGTCTTAATTGCAAGTTTCAGTAGACTGAAGTCATTGTAGCAGTTAATTAGGCAAACCCTCAAAAATTGCAAAAAAAAAAAAAAAAAATTAAGAAGAAAACTCATAGGTAAAGACCCAGATACTCTACCTATCAAGATTTTTTTTTTTTCACTACATAGAGAATGCAAATATGAAAAATTGTAAGATTTAGCAATTTGGTTGATATGTCGAACAATAGATAATGATCACAAAGACTTTTAGATAATACAACCCAATCTTCATGTCTCTGAGGGTTAGTAACCCAGGTGGTGGCGGACCTACATTTTTGGGGCCCTGAAGTTGGAACTGTTATGGAGGGTCCTTCGCAACCCCTTCTCACACAGTAGACCCAAATATTTTAAGCAATGTGGACTAAAATCGCTTCTGGGGCCCCTCCGGGATTAAGGGCCCCTGAAGCTTAAGTTTCATTAGTTTCACAGAAGATCCGTCCTTGAACCCAGGATACCCCAGTGGCATATGTGCAATCACTACGACAAGGTCCTAGATGCACTAGAAGACAAAAAGAATGCAGATGTAATATATACAAACTTTGCAAAAGCCTTCGACAAGTGTGACCATGGCGTAATAGCGCACAAAATGAGTGCTAAATGAATAACAGGAAAAGTCGGTCGATGGATCTATAATTTCCTCACTAACAGAACACAGAGACTAGTCGTCAACAGAGTAAAGTCCGAGGCAGCTACGGTGAAAAGCTCTGTTCCACAAGGCACAGTACTCGCTCCCATCTTGTTCCTCATCCTCATATCTGACATAGACAAGGATGTCAGCCACAACACCGTGTCTTCCTTTGCAGATGACACCCGAATCTGCATGACAGTGTCTTCCATTGCAGACACTGCAAAGCTCCAGGCGGACATCAACCAAATCTTTCAGTGGGCTGCAGAAAACAATATGAAGTTCAACGATGAGAAATTTCAATTACTCAGATATGGTAAACATGAGGAAATTAAATCTTCATCAGAGTACAAAACAAATTCTGGCCACAAAATAGAGCGAAACACCAACGTCAAAGACCTGGGAGTGATCATGTCGGAGAATCTCACCTTCAAGGACCATAACATTGTATCAATCGCATCTGCTAGAAAATGACAGGATGGATAATGAGAACCTTCAAAACTAGGGAGGCCAAGCCCATGATGACACTCTTCAGGTCACTTGTTCTATCTAGGCTGGAATATTGCTGCACACTAACTGCACCTTTCAAGGCAGGTGAAATTGCTGACCTAGAAAATGTACAGAGAACTTTCACGGCGCGCATAACGGAGATAAAACACCTCAATTACTGGGAGCGCTTGAGGTTCCTAAACCTGTATTCCCTGGAACGCAGGCGGGAGAGATACATGATTATATACACTTGGAATATCCTAGAGGGACTAGTACCGAACTTGCACACGAAAATCACTCACTACGAAAGCAAAAGACTTGGCAGACGATGCAACATCCCCCCAATGAAAAGCAGGGGTGTCACTAGCACGTTAAGAGACCATACAATAAGTGTCAGGGGCCCGAGACTGTTCAACTGCCTCCCAGCATACATAAGGGGGATTACCAACAGACCCCTGGCAGTCTTCAAGCTGGCACTGGACAAGCACCTAAAGTCGGTTCCTGACCAGCCGGGCTGTGGCTCGTACGTTGGTTTGCGTGCAGCCAGCAGTAACAGCCTGGTTGATCAGGCTCTGATCCACCAGGAGGCCTGGTCACAGACCGGGCCGCGGGGGCGTTGACCCCCGGAACTCTCTCCAGGTAAACACTAAGAACCTTTATTGACGAAATGTTTCGTCTGAGCTTCATCAGTGGAATGCAGTGATGAAGTACACTGCCGAAGAGTGATTCACGAATTACAATCCTGACAACCCAATAAAGCCATGTTATCCGACTGGCTTATTTTCATCGGGGTACTGTAAGCCTCTTCCACAAGCTGCCACCCATACCAGTCCTCTAACACCCAGGAACCTACTGTGCATACTGTTAGGTGAACAGGATAGCGAGGCGAGGCGAGGCGAAGTATGACCAGAACTTTGGTAAGATGGGGAAGGAAGAAGGATGGGCCAAGATGGAAATATTGGAAAATGGTGGGTGGGGGGGGGGGTGAGGTAATAAAGTGGCCTAACCACTTTGGCACATTTTAATACAAGTGTCCAGTAGCTGGATCGCTGGCGCACTCCGTTCACACACTGAGGTCCGAAGTTTGAATCTCCGGTACAGCTAGAATAAGTAAGTTTATTCATGTATACATAAATACATTTAACTACATAAATTATCATACATAGCAGTATATGTGTAGAGAACCTGGGATAACCCAAAAAAGTCAAAGTAACTTATTTCCATTGAGACTGCAATGGACGTATTTCCATAAAACACCTGCTGTCCCTATTCACCTGGGTGTTAGTCGACTGGTGTGGGTCGCATCCTGGTACAAAACTAACCGAATTTGCCCGAAATACTCTGCATAACAAGCGGTTTTCTATATAATAGTATGTCATTGATGTCAGCTAGGCCTGTATACCTTGTACATGTACTTGTAGAAATAAAGATATTATTATTATTATTATTATTATTATTATTATTATTGTTGTTGTTGTTGTTGCTGTTGTTTATGAAGTGTCTGGGGCCCAAGACTGTTCGACTGCCTCCCAGCATACATAAGGGAGATTACCAATAGTCCCCTGGCTGTCTTCAAGAAGCCACTGGACACGCACCTAAAGTTAGTACCTGACCAGCCGGGGTGTGGTTAGTACTTCAGTTTGTGTGCGGCCAGCAGTAACAGCCTGGCTTATCAGACCCTGAACCACCACGAGGCCTGGTCTCAGACCGAGCCGTGGGGGCGTTGACCCGAAACCTTCTCTAGGTATACCCTGCTACCCATCAGCTGCACACAGTCATACCAGCTGGATAGCACGTGCAAGGAAACTTATTCAACGTTTTCACTCGTTTGGGGATGGAATCACAGTCCCTCATTATCTGAAGCAGCTACCAGCTGAGCTGAGAGAGACTATACCTGGATGATATTGTCCCTTAGCCTCGGAGAAGTAAGCGAAATGTCTAGTTTAGTTCGTTTAATATATTAATTATGCACCCCATACCGATCTTGTGAGCGGTAGTCAAAAGATTACAGAGGTACACAATTGGTCCAAGGACTGGACTCCAAAGTTTTGATAGCTGAACAAGTTACAAAGGTAATGAACTAGATCTGGTTACAATCATGACCAAATTACAAAGGTAATGAGCTTCAGGTAGAGCTGGTCACACTCATGACAAGTTACAAAGGTAATGAACTAGATCTGGTCACAGTCATGACAAGTTACAAAGGTAATGAGCTCCAGGTAGAGCTGGTCACAGTCATGACAAGTTACAAAGGTAATGAGCTCCAGGTAGAGCTGATCACAATCATGACAAGTCACAAAGGTAATGAATCATAAACACATCCATATATGGTTACAATCATGAACAAATTACAGAGTAATGAGCAATTAACAAAGATTCTAGGGAATGCATCATTGCCCCAACAACAGACGTTGCTAGGTGCCTGTCCCTCCTCGGCAGGACAGTCAGACAGCCATTGCAAAGAGCAGCAGGTTGCGCCAGGATCTGCTGCTTGCAGGAGCACCAACGCCCTCCCCAAGAGGTTAGCGACCCTTCCTAGAATCCACCTGAACACTAGTCTCTTCCTCGTACAGAGGGACGCTTGCGTCCCTCTGTACGTATCATCTGACATCTTTTATTCATTTCTGCAACATTACAGGCTTCTGACAATGTGCTGACTGCAATCAACACATCATTAGTAGCTTGTAATGTTGCAGAAATGAGTAAGAGATGTCATCTTATGTTAATCTATGTTAATTTATTAATCAATGTTAATCCGAGGTCCGGAAATCGAATCCCAGGTACGACTGAAAAACATTAGGACGTGTTTCTTTAAGATACCTGTTGTCCATGTTCACCCATCAGTATAAAATGGGTACCTGGGTGTTAGTCGACTGGTGTGGGTCGCATCCTGGGACAAAACTGACCTAATTTGCCCCAAATGCTCAGCATAACAAGCGGCTTTCTATATAGCAGTATGTCATTGATGTCAGCTAGGCTTGTATACCTTGTACATGTACTTGTAGAAATAAAGATAATAATATTATTATTATTATATGTATGAATATTTAAATTTAGCGCCTAAGCTCAGAGCAATATATGATGGAGCCGCCATCTTGGTATTTACCTCTTTCACTGTGCTCCTTCTTTAAGAATATTTATACCGTTAAGAACCCATCACAAACACTTACTGGATGCTGATATATCGCTGATTATACAAGGTAAGATGTTACCTACTTGAAGTGGAAGAAATAAAGTGAAATGCAAGAAATAAGGTGTCGATGGAAGGTCGTTAGGTTACTAGCCAGACCTTTCACACCTTGAAAATAAGTCACACGAAAACACTTCAGTAGTGTTGTTGATGTCATGAAGGGACGTTGTGTTGGAGCTGCTGACATCATGCCTTGCCCACCTTACAGTTACTCTCGGGTCAGTTGCATATATCTTCTGGCTGGAAATTACCGAAAAGAAAATAATTTTGGTAAATATGGGTTGTCTAGTCAGGGTTTTCACTAGGCCTACTTATGTTAATGGCTTTATGATCGTTGAGCAGCGCTGTAGGACCCCTGTGGGTTTAGCGCTTAATTGTGACATGATTTTTTTTAACCTCGCCAGGGAGGTGCCTTGATGCTAGTGAGGGGCTCTTGACCCAGGGTATTGGATTTACCCTGGATCAAAAGTTACTTGGCCTTTTTTTTTTTTTTTTTTTTTTTTTTTTTTAGTTATCCTAGGTAATCTACACATATGATGCTATTTATGATAATTTGTTATAATGTGTACCTATACCTTAATAAACTTAATCTCCACACCTCCATCACCCAAGGCAATGTAAGAAAAGATTTTTGTTGAGATTTTTAACCTGGAGGGTTAGCACCCCAGGGTGTCATTGGGAACTGTCTCTTATTTCTGTTCTGGTCCTTAATCATGTCCCCCAGGATGCCACCCACACCAATTGACTAACACTCAGGTACCTACCTACTTCTAGGTGAACAAGGACAGCAGGTGTAAGGAAACATGCCCAGTGTTTCACCCATGCAGGAATTAGTAAGTTTATTTAGGTATAGGTGCACATAAGTACAATTATCATACATAGTTTAACATGTGTGTAAATTTCCTAGGATAACCCAAAAAAGTCAGTTACTTGATTTTCGTTGGAGTCGTTGTAATCAATTCCCAATCCCTCAGTAGCGTTGTATGACTTGTGGGTTTAGTACTTAGTTCAGATTGCAATAATAATAATAATCCCAATCCCTCAGTGTGTGAACTGAGGAGGCAATCAACCAAGCCATTAATTCTGATGGCTTCCCATTCCACAGATCCTTACGGATTTAGCACTTCGTTATGATGATGATGATAATTCCCATTCCACAAGATGCTGTGTGACCCATATGGGTTTAGCACTCCCCCAGGAAGTAAAAATATAAAGACTCGATCCAAGGAATTGGAACTACATTCTTTCTCGGAGTGAGTATGATTTCTTCTCATTCTACTGGTGCTATATGACCCTTATGGGCCACCTTGCCTGCGGCTTGGCAAGGTGCCCCGTGGCCTGGTAGGCAATGCTCTCTCTTCACACTGAGTGTCTGTGGTTTGATCCCTGGAAAGGGTGGAAACATTGGATGTGTTTCCTTACACCTGTTGTCCCATTCACCTAGCAAGCAAGTAGGTACCTAAGTGTTAGTTAACTTGTGTGTGTTGCATCCTGGGGGACAATATCGAGGACCCCAATAGACAGTTCCTCGATAATGCACTGCCTTTCTTGGGTTATCCTGGGTGGCTAACTTCTGGGGTTAAAAACCTATACAAAATCTTAAATTATCTAGTTTTACCCAATGATTATAACAATAGTAACATGTTCATATAATGTAAAGCACCAACTTGACTATGGCCCTCACAAATTTAGATTATAATTAATACCACATTTATGGGGGGGAGTACTAAACCTGTAAGGTTCATACAGCTGGGGAATGGGAGGCATTAAGGTTCAGTCTGAGGAAGGGGAGAGCAGGTCTAATTCCTCGAATTAAGATCAAGAGTCACTGGCATCAGGGAATCTCCTTTGAGGAATCACAAATTTGGACATTTTACCTTATCCTTAGAAATTTGTAGCACTGTATCGCCCTTGTATATTTTCTTTCCCACTCTGCCTTTTAAAATGCTGCTGTAGATAAGCAAAAATTTAAAATAGAATGTAAATTGTTTTTAAAGTGCAAGTTTCAGGTTATTAATCCCAATTGCTCAGTACTGCCACTACACTAATTATAAATATTGTGAATTTGTCCAGTCTCTGTGTTGTGACTTATTTTTCTGAATACTATTTTAAATTTGTTTCAATACATTTATACAGTATACTGCATACTATACATCATATAAACATGTAGTATACAGTATGAATATTTTGTAAAAAGTAGCACTAAATTCAAAATTTAAAATTTTCAGGAACATGAAGGAAAAAATGGCAGTAAATGCTCAGCTGGAATGCATAATATGTGGGATTATGGTGCCTTCAGTTTACAAGTACCACACTCACAACATTCGTCGGCACTCGCTAGCGGAGCTGTCACGTGCCATTCTCAAACTGAAGAACTTGCCGCTGCCATTAAATGATCCTCCAGCAGAGGTTGGTAATGAAAATGAAGAAGAGCAGACTAAGGGAGAACAACGACAACAACAGCCGAGATTTGATGTGGAAGTGGCTGAAGCTTTAGGTATATGACTACCATCATTATCATTGGATGAAACCTGATTTTTTTCAGTTTGCCAGGCACTGTATGACCTCTGGGTTTAGTGCTTCCCTATGAAGGAAATTATAATAATTTTGGTTTGTGATCTCTATACTAATTTCTTAACTGATAGAGATTACCCTCATCTCTGCCAGTATCCTCCCTTTCATACCTATACCTCTTCTCCCTGCCATCTCATTCACCTCTATCATGTAGTCTTAAATGGTCTTCACAAGTTCAGTGTATTTTCCATGAATATGCAGTAATAATAAACTATACCCCTCAAGGAGTATAATACATTGATGCTGGTGAGGGGCTCTTGATCTAAGGAATTGGATTTGTGCTCCAGTTTCCTGAATTAAGGCTGAATACCCTTCCCCCCCACCCCACAGGAGTTTTATAATCCCTACGGGTTTAGCGCCCCCCATATTAATAGTGAACTATTGAAGTAACACAAAATCTGTTACCTAAATTGTATCAACACTTATCTTCAGTGTTTATTACAGTACACTATATGCATAATTGTGTTTGTAGTGATTCTTTATGAATATAATGCATTATGTACATAATGTAATGCTCTTGCTACTTTTTAACATTCAGAGTTAACAGTCACTCAGACATTTCCCTTATTAGTCTGTTAAATTGAAGTTTAAGTGTACACTGCAACATCCAGTCACATTTTTTCACACAGTTGACAAACTAAGAGCGTTTGTTGTACCTCACTTCATTTCATAGCATATCCTCATCTATGCTGTATTACCACTTTCCAGTATGTGACCCACTGCAAGGTGACCAGGGGCAGCAGGTGTAATGAGACTTGCTCATACATCTCGTCTTGCATGGGAGTCAACCTTAGGTCCTTCCGATTATGAGTTGTCTTTACAGTCAACTGGATGTGTGTGTATGTATGTATATACATATGTATATGTGCAAAGGAACCACTGTGAAAAATAAGGAAATTCCAAGTGCTTTTGTGATCTCTCACATTATCAAGGAACAGGAAGGCATACAAGGACAAGACTACGAGGTGTAGTCCTGTCCTTATACGTCTTCCTGTTAATCTTTTATTTTTGTAGTTCCTTGATAGTGTGAGAAATCACGAAAGCGCTTGGAATTTCACTATTTTTTCACAGTGGCTATTCTGCACATTGTGATATCACCTGTTTACTGTGATCTTATTGCATATGTATATGTATATGTATATATATATATACTCAACATATTCCTACCCTACTTTCAGATTGCATTTAATAAAAATTATGAATGTTTCAATTTCAGGACTGTCTGTTAGAGTAGACCTAATGGATGAAGAAATTATTGAATTGGGACCAACGGACAATGCAGATCACCTTCAAATTCAAAGCCGTCAAGTTAAAAATTTGCATGAAAAGAATCAACAATCAAGACAAGTTATTGAAGTTAAGGAAAATAAAACTTCACCTTGTTATACTAACCCTACTGCTGAGGATCCTGATGCTATTGTTGTTAAGTAAGTTACTACAGTCTGTATTTAATGCAAAAGTTGGTTTACATTCTAATACAATGGTGAGAGATATTATTTAGTAATTTTGCTCTTTTTAAGAAGGGTGTCTTGATACTTGTGAAGAACTCTTTAATATTCTGATCCAAAAAATTGGAGCTACTCTTCCTTACTTTGCTTGAATCAAACTTGATTACCTCCCATTCCCCACGCTCTGTGCAACCCTAACCAGTTAAGTGCTTTCCCAAAATTTAATATGGTCATTTTACACAGGCAGAGAAATATTTAAGTGAATTTGAGAGAATTATGTAATATGTACATACATACATATACATATGGAAAAGTGTGGAGAGGGTTGAAATGGGCCTATTGGGCTGAGGTGGATGGTTGTGGTTCTTATTTTGACATGGATGCCGAATTGTCAGTAGTTGATTGCTGTTTTGGAGTAGTTGTATATTCTGTAATCCATTTCTGGTCTATTTTGCTTAACATTACTTGATGCAGTTGGCAATAAGGCATCATTGCTTGGTCCAGAGACTGTAGGATCACAGGATGACTGCAGGAATGATCAAGAACAAGAACCCTGAATGCAGGCTAAGTGTATCTTCCCTCAGAAATAAATTAATGCCTGATCTGAACCATTTAACAAACAGCCTCAATCATCCAAATTGCCTTGTTAGCCTGCCAAATAATTGGCAAAAAAGTTTGTTTACCCTTTGTCACACAGTCTTTGAATGATATATTAGCATAAGCTTGCACTGGAATCAACTCTTAAATGGCATGGGTGACATTAGAGGAGGGAGGAGCTGTGGCCTCACAAACACCCTTAACGCATTGGCTTAATGGCCCAACTTAGGTTGGTGGGGAAAAATTCTTCAGAGTCTAGTACAGTGGTACCCCGAGTTTTGTACAGCTCCCAACTCAAACAATTATGTAAGTGTATTTTTGGGGATCTGAAACGGACAAATCTAATTTACATCACTGCTTATGGGAACAAATTCATTTGGTAATGGCACACTAACAGCCTTCGGGAACAAATTATGTACAAAACTCAGGGTACCACTGTACCTAGATTTTGTAGGTTAACTGATTCTATAACTTTTCATGGCACATAATAGCAAGATTTCTGTTTATCATCCATCCCCTACTGTATCACTTAATGACATTTTATTTTCAGGTTCAACAGAGAATTGTTTACAGCACAAGACAACAGCAGTCCATCATTATACACAGGAGATACCAGTAAAACTAGACTTATTAACAGGCAAATGAGAGCTGTAGTTAAGAGAACTATTGACATCCCAAATCCTAATACTTTTATTATGGATTATAAAAAGGCAATGTCTCGATCTAATAAATATATCATGCAAAATATCAGTGTGGCTGATAATTCTCCAAAAAAACGACGTGGGCGTCCCAAAAAGAATGCAGAAAATGATGATTATATTCCATCCAAAATAGTCAGCAGAAAGAAATTATTAGGTGAACCTGAACTTTCTGAGGAGGAGGATGACTTGGAAGGACTAGTTGATCCTCCTCTTTTCTCCGAGGATGAAGATGAGGAAGCAGATGCAGTCATGCCCAACATCACCAGGACACGCTCTGGAAGAACCATCAAAATAAAAGCAGAAGATGGTACATTTGAATACTATGATATACCTGGAAGACATCAAGTGGACACAGATGACTTAAATAGTCATAAATATTGGAATGAGAATTCCATTCCGATTGTGACTACTGGGGAAAGAAGAGGAAGAAAACGCAAACAGATAAACAAATCTAATTTTGACACCTCTGATCCTATCGTGAAGGATGATTCCTGTAAACGTTCTCTGGCTGAAAATACTAGAAATTCAGTCAAATTACTTGAAATTAAAAAAGAATTAGACTGTAAAATTACAAATGTAATTGAAGATCTAGTTATGCCAACCACTAATGAGATTGTAGAAGATTCAAAGGAATTTGACAGATCTTCAATTGTAGAATCTTTTGATGGTTATGAATGTTTTTTGTGCTTGAAGTCATTTAATTTTAAAGATTGTGAAAAGCACATACACGAGCATCTTCATAAAGAAATTATAGACAATGAAACTGCAATTGGTAGTTCACATGAATTTGATGACAAAGTATCTGATAATAGTCATGATGTAAATATTAGAGTTGATGCTACCCAAATATCCAAAGATGCCAATGCAGTAGCTTCTGTAGTTGATATCTATACAAAATCTGATAATCACTTGTCAACAGATACTGGTATAGCTAGTCAGCTCTCGACTGAGTTTAATGATTCATTTACTTGCTCCATATGTAATGAAGATTTTGATTCTCGGGCAGCTCTTCTAGAGCACACCCATGAAAATATCTATACCTGCAAGTTATGCGGAAAAAAATACCAGAAAAGACTCACTTTGCAGTCCCACATGAAGAGATATCATGAAGAAACTGACTGGATGAAATTCAAATGTGCAACTTGTGGGAAGAATTTTGGATTTTTGACCTCTTTAGAGAGACACATGAAAGAGCATAATCCAAATAAGAAGTTTTGCTGTGAGCAGTGTGGGAAGGTTTTCAAGAGTCTTGTCAATTTAAAAATACACATAGGACTGCATACAAAAGATGAAGTTTATGAATGCCCATATTGTCCAAAAAAATATTACATTAGGTATAGTTTTGAAAAGCATTTCCGAACTCATGTTGAAGCACCAAAGTTTCATTGTGAAATGTGTGATAAAAACTTTAGTGAAAGAAAACATTTTGAAGTTCATTTAGAGAGACATCAAAATGGTGGGAGCTTGGGCAGGAGTAAAGATCTCAAGTGCAATAATTGTGGAGATATTAAAAGTCCAACAGAATTAGAAATAGTGAGTGGAACTGATCCAGGTCATCACAAAAAGTGTTTGGAATGTGGTAAGGGACTTTATAAAAGATTCATGATTGAAAACATTGATACATCATCATTACAAATAAAGAGTGATAAACAGAGGGAGCAGTGCAAATTATGTGGAAAATCTGTGCTCAATCTCCAAAGACATCTCAAGCACACTCATTTAGAAAATGATTATGTACCATGTCATATCTGTGGAGTACTTGTTACAAAATCATCCTTACCAGCTCACAAAAATCGAAAGCATGGTGGATCTGCAGTGACTTGTGATCATTGTAACAAAGTATTCAAAAACATAATGTGTTTAAGGGAGCATATGACAAAGGTTCGAAGGAAAGAAGATCCAACCAAAAATATATGCAAATTTTGCAAAGAAGTGATTGCTCCTGAACTTTGGAAAGAACACATGATGAGGCATCGAACAAAGTGTAATGACTGTGGAGCTTCAAACTTCCCAACTCATGAAGAATTTATGGCTCACCTTGAAACTTGCAGGAGATGCAGCAATTGTGGCACAACTGATTTTAATTCACGAGGGGAATTTTTAGATCATATCGAAATATGTAGCAGCAGCATTGACATAATGACTGGTACTCTGGACTCTTCCAATGATCAAGAAATCGTAACCAGTATATTTGCGATAGATGACTGCACATGCTGTGAAACATGTGGTGAAGTATTTGAAAGTCCAGAAACTCTTGCCCACCATATTACAGAAGCTCACCAAAGTGCACTCTCATCTAGTCACATTCTAGATCAAAATGCCATGATTGATGAAGCTATCTTGTATGCCTGTCCTTAGGAATCTTATATTTATTGCTACAAGCAAAGGGTTGCTGAAAGATCGCTCTGTCAGTGCACATTTGTATTTCCAATTTTGATCATTTCACATAAATGCCTGATACTGAAAATTGTTAGTATTGTACTGTATAGAATGTAATTTTTCTAAATATATTTTTGTATAGATTATAAGCATTTTAACTGTCATGCAATACAAATACAAAAACCTTTATTTCAAAATTTCTGTATAAAACATGAAGTAATCTGAAGGGCCATAGAATGCATAGCACTTTGGGCAAAACTTTACTTAAATTGTACATTGTTTTATTTTTTAATTTTGTAATGGATACATGGTACAGTATTAATAGTAACTTAAAAATAGAGAGAAGTTACAAGTTAAGTATAAAAAAAATATAAATGTCTACATTTAACTTCATGGGGAAGTGGAACAGAATTTTTCCTCCATAAACCATGCATGTCGTAAGAGGCGACTAAAATGCCGGGAGCAAGTGGGTAGTAACCCTTTCTCCTGTATACATTATTAAAGTTAAAAAGAGAAACTTTAATTTTTCTTTTTGGGCCACCCTGCTTCGGTGGGATATGGCCAGTTTGTTGAAAGAAGTCTGCATATATTGCTGTCAAGGATCACATTAAAGTAAGAAATAAGTGAATGTTCATGTCTTAGCATGACTCGGTGTTCATTGAACTACTAATCGGCCTGAAGGTTGACAACCCAAATGAGTTCTTCAAGAATGAGACACAAAATGCTAAAGACATCTCTCAAATATCTGATATAAGTAGCTCAAGCGCCATTTAACTTCCAAGAGGTCATTGATTGCAAACCCACGGATTCCTCTCCAGGTCCAGACTGGTGGAAATTGATATTGGAGTCATTCCAGTCATAAAAACCACTGATATTGCCCTACCCCAAAAAACTATAAACCAATAAATAGCTCTAACATCCCACATTATCAAGGTTTTTAAAAACATTTTAAGAAGCAAGATTACCAATTATGGGCCCCTCAGGGAAGGTTCCTTGATGTTGGTGAGGGGCTCTTGATTTAGGGAATTGGATCTGTGCTCCAGTTCCCCGAATTAAGCCTGAATGCCTTCCACATGCACCCCGCCCCCAGGTGCTGTATAATCCTCCGGGTTTAGCGCTTCCCCCTTGATTATAATAATAATACCAATCATGGGGAATCACACCACTTGCACAACCCAGATCAACGTGTGTTCAGAACAGGTCATTCCTACCTTTCGCAATTGCTGGGCTACTATATCATGGTCTTGGATGTACTTCAAGACAAGCAAAGCGCAGAGGTAGTGTACACTGACTTTGCAAAGATCTTGGATAAGTGCCGAATGGGGTAATTGAATACAAAATGAATGCAAATGGAATAACTGGGAAGGTGAGCAGATGGATATTTAACTTCTTAACAGTAACCAGTGTAATCAGGGAATGCTATAGTGAAAAGTTCTGTCCTGAAGGCACAGTACTCGCCTACTTCTCTTTGACATTGCTGTATCTGGCATAAACGGGCATAACTCAGCATTGTTATCCTTTGCAGATTATACTAGAATTTTTATGAAAGTGGCAATCACAGAAAAGACAGCGAGCCTCAGAGGTGACATAAACCAAGTCTTCCAGCAGGCCACTGACAACAACAGGATGTTCAATGAGGACAATTTTTAGTTAACCACAGAAAAATGGAGGAAATGAAAAAAAATTGGAGTACAACAAACTTGAACCACTCAGTAAAGGGTAAGTCATATGTAAGAAACCTCTCAAGGGAGGGTCCTTGATGCTGGTGAGGGGCTCTTGAACTAGGGAATTGGAGGAGCTGTATGACCCTTGTAGGTTTAGCACCTTTTTTTTATTATAATAATACTAGGGAATTGGATTTGTGCTCCGGTTCCCTGGATCGAGTCTGAATACCTTCCGTCCTCCCCCACATGCGCTATATAATCCTACGGGTTTAGCGCTCCCCCATGATTATAATTGCACATGTGGTCACTGCATAACAGTATGTAATATTGCTGAGCTTCAAAATGTAGGGAGAGCCTTCACAGCTCGTGTGAATTCAGTGTGGCATGCGCCGAGTACCTTACAATTTATTTTGAGTTCATCATACCTCCATTTGTGAGCACCTTGTTCCAGCCAAACTGGCAGTCAGGTTGTAGTTTTTCACACGGATTGGCTGCAAGATTTGTAAATCAACTAACTGGGTGAGAGCTTGCCCTCAGTTGAACTTGTGTCATGTTTCCACACCTGATTGGAGGCACTCACTCAGGCTGGATGTATGACCCTTGTAAGTTTAGTGCTTCATTTTGATTGGAGGGTGTTCTAGGGGTCAACACCCCTGTGGCTGATCCATGACCAGGCCTCACGGTGGATCAGAGCCTGATCAACCAGGCTATTACTGCTGGCTTATTTAATGTGAAAAAACAACTGCAATGACTTTGGTCTCTCGTTCATTATCATTCGGCTGTTTTATTGTACTTATTGCGCTCCCTGAATGGGATCCAATGTTTATAGTGTGTATTGTATGTATATATTTACCTATTCATATAATTTTATATTGCCGATATTTTCATTAATAGGTAAAATGAAAATACAGTGGTCCCTCGTTGTTTGTAATTAATCCGTTCCTGGAGCCGTTACTACAAACGAAATTTACGATTTACGAATCAATTTTCCCCATAAGAAATAATGTAAATACAATTAATCCGTTCCTGACACCCAGAAGTATTAAAACAAAAAAATTTTTAACATGAAATATGCATGTAGTACATAAACAATACAATGGAAAATGATTTATTTTATTTTATTATCACACTGGCCGATTCCCACCAAGGCACGGTGGCCCGAAAAAGAAAAACTTAAACCATCATTCACTCCATCACTGTCTTGCCAGAAGGGTGCTTTACACTACAGTTTTTAAATTGCAACATTAACACCCCTCCTTCAGAGTGCAGGCACTGTACTTCCCATCTCCAGGACCCAAGTCCGGCCTGCCGGTTTCCCTGAACCCCTTCATAAATGTTACTTCGCTCACACTCCAACAGCACGTCAAGTATTAAAAACCATTTGTCTCCATTCACTCCTATCAAACACGCTCACGCATGCCTGCTGGAAGTCCAAGCCCCTCGCACACAAAACCTCCTTTACCCCCTCTCTCCAACCTTTCCTAGGCCGACCCCTACCCCGCCTTCCTTCCACTACAGACTGATACACTCTTGAAGTCATTCTGTTTCGCTCCATTCTCTCTACATGTCCGAACCACCTCAACAACCCTTCCTCAGCCCTCTGGACAACAGTTTTGGTAATCCCGCACCTCCTCCTAACTTCCAAACTACGAATTCTCTGCATTATATTCACACCACACATTGCCCTCAGACATGACATCTCCACTGCCTCCAGCCTTCTCCTCGCTGCAACATTCATCACCCATGCTTCACACCCATATAAGAGCGTTGGTAAAACTATACTCTCATACATTCCCCTCTTTGCCTCCAAGGACAAAGTTCTTTGTCTCCACAGACTCCTAAGTGCACCACTCACTCTTTTCCCCTCATCAATTCTATGATTCACCTCATCTTTCATAGACCCATCCGCTGACACGTCCACTCCCAAATATCTGAATACATTCACCTTCTCCATACTCTCTCCCTCCAATCTGATATTCAATCTTTCATCACCTAATCTTTTTGTTATCCTCATAACCTTACTCTTTCCTGTATTCACCTTTAATTTTCTTCTTTTGCACACCCTACCAAATTCATCCACCAATCTCTGCAACTTCTCTTCAGAATCTCCCAAGAGCACAGTGTCATCAGCAAAGAGCAGCTATGACAACTCCCACTTTGCGTGTGATTCTTTATCTTTTAACTCCACGCCTCTTGCCAAAACCCTCGCATTTACTTCTCTTACAACCCCATCTATAAATATATTAAACAACCACGGTGACATCACACATCCTTGTCTAAGGCCTACTTTTACTGGGAAATAATTTCCCTCTTTCCTACATACTCTAACTTGAGCCTCACTATCCTCGTAAAAACTCTTCACTGCTTTCAGTAACCTACCTCCTACACCATACACTTGCAACATCTGCCACATTGCCCCCCTATCCACCCTGTCATATGCCTTTTCCAAATCCATAAATGCCACAAAGACCTCTTTAGCCTTATCTAAATACTGTTCACTTATATGTTTCACTGTAAACACCTGGTCCACACACACCCCCTACCTTTCCTAAAGCCTCCTTGTTCATCTGCTATCCTATTCTCCGTCTTACTCTTAATTCTTTCAATAATAACTCTACCATACACTTTACCAGGTATACTCAGCAGACTTATCCCCCTATAATTTTTGCACTCTCTTTTATCCCCTTTGCCTTTATACAAAGGAACTATGCATGCTCTCTGCCAATCCCTAGGTACCTTACCCTCTTCCATACATTTATTAAATAATTGCACCAACCACTCCAAAACTATATCCCCACCTGCTTTTAACATTTCTATCTTTATCCCATCAATCCCGGCTGCCTTACCCCCTTTCATTTTACCTACTGCCTCACGAACTTCCCCCACACTCACAACTGGTGCTGGTGGCCAGGTATGGTGCTGGTGGCCTGGTGGCTAAAGCTCCCGCTTCACACACGGAGGGCCCGGGTTCGATTCCCGGCGGGTGGAAACATTTCGACACGTTTCCTTACACCTGTTGTCCTGTTCACCTAGCAGCAAATAGGTACCTGGGTGTTAGTCGACTGGTGTGGGTCGCATCCTGGGGGACAAGATTAAGGACCCCAATGGAAATAAGTTAGACAGTCCTCGATGACGCACTGACTTTCTTGGGTTATCCTGGGTGGCTAACCCTCCGGGGTTAAAAATCCGAACGAAATCTTATCTTATCTTATCTCTTATCTCACTCCTACAAGATGTTATTCCTCCTTGTCCTATACAAGAAATCACAGCTTCCCTATCTTCATCAACATTTAACAATTCCTCAAAATATTCCCTCCATCTTCCCAATACCTCTAACTCTCCATTTAATAACTCTCCTCTCCTATTTTTAACTGACAAATCCATTTGTTCTCTAGGCTTTCTTAACTTGTTAATCTCACTCCAAAACTTTTTCTTATTTTCAACAAAATTTGTTGATAACATCTCACCCACTCTCTCATTTGCTCTCTTTTTAC